GTTGCACATGAAGCCTCCACCTTCACGTTCGCGTCCCCTTTCTCGCTAATGCGTAGAACAAATATATGATGACACAAAAACACCCTTCGCGAATGCGAGTCCCTGACTGCGAACGTGAAGAACAATTTGTCTGCAATACAAAACCAGCAAAAACTGCCAAGTCCAAAGTCCAAAATTGATACGTTTAACCATCCGAAACTCACCTGAGGCCCTCGGGTCCTCAACCAACATGCCAACATATCCCATAACCTCATTCAAACTTGTTCCAACCTTCAGAACGCTCAAAGCAACATCAAAACACCAAAATCACATCGGATTCAAGCTTAAGAGTTTCAAGAACTTCCAAATTCCGCTTTTTGATCCAAAACCCAATGAAACCACGTCCGAATGACTTGAAATTTTTGCACACATATCACAAACTTTCGGAATTCCATTCTGACTCCTATATCAAAATCTTACCTATCAACCGGAAAACGCCAAAATCTCAATTTCGCCAATTCAAGCCTAAACCTTCCATGGACTTCCAAAATGCATTCCGATCACGCTTCTAAGTCCCAAATCACCTAATGGAGCTAACCAAATTATTAAAATTCCGATCCTAGATCATATACCCACAAGTCAAATCTTGGTCAAACATTTCAAATTTCATGCTTCAAACTGAGAACTGTTCTTCCAAATTCATTCCGATTACCCTGAAAACCAAAAACAACGATTTACATAAGTCATAATCAATCACTCGGGGCAAGTCATGCCCGAGAACTGACGAGGAAAGTGCAAAAGCTCAAAATGACCGATCGGGTCTTTACATGCTCCCCCACTTAAACATACATTTGTAGTCGAACGTGCCCAGAGTTGTTCCAAAAGCCAACCAATCGCTGAATAACCTTACCACGCATATACCCAGGGGTGATCCCACTTCACCCTATCTCACATAGGTCCGATAACACAATGTAACTGAAATTTTCACAATCCAACCTAGCCCATAAACCTTAGAACCACATTTCCACTTCTAAAATCATCCACAAGATCCAAATATCACATGTATACTCTGAATAAGCCCGAACAAGCAGTAGTAACCCATACCTGCAACCTCAGGTGCAATTACATGATACACCACATCATTCAAACAATTGTAGCACTAACTTCTAATCGTAGTAGCTGCACATAACAACCGAATACCGATAGAAAACCTCTTGTCAACTAAAGTTCCATTCCAACACTTTCATATACTACCAATGATAAATGAAACATATAGTAAGCCATAACTATTTCTCAGATCAACCATTCATGAAGCCACTTCACTTTTTGCAAAGACCATGGCAAATTTCTGAGTCGAACCTCGATATTATTCTTCCAACATGCTGAAATCGAATCCGTTCGTATTCATTAATGATCCCAACGATCTCATCTAATCCAACGCACTACACTGGTGACATGACACATCAATACAGGCTAAAGACTCAACTTGTGAAATCCGCGCACCAATAACCAACAATCCGAACATACTCAAATCATGAACATGACTCAAATGAAAGAGCTGTACCGTAAGCTCACCAGTACCACCACAACACAAGGCTGAGAACCCGTCTCACATCATAGAAACAAAATACACGAATCTAACCCGCAAGGATCACCCCGTCCACATAGCTTCGCTCCAATACGCGACCTCATCCACACACTAGTCCACATGAAACACCTCAAGTCACTATGCTCAAAAATCGACAACCATGCGCAATATGATGTCTAAAACCAAAGCAATCATAATAACTACCGCGAAGCAATTGACATAACATTACACATACCCGAAGGGATACAATCGATACGCCATTCAAGCAATACCCAGTACTCTTTCCTGCTCGACTTCCACTATGAAACCCCAATGGAACCGCACCATATGTGCCTATAACCAACAAATCATAACGTCTCGCAACACAAAAAAGTAATCCATAGATCACCTCAGAACACTAACAGCTCAATAACAACTGAATCAACAACTTTGCCCGGTGACATGCCCGACCATAAGAAACACCTCCGAAAAGTCCCTCACCACCGAAACTGAATAAATGGTAGGAGTCTCTACACTGACATCCATGACGAAACCCAAGTAAGAAAGACGATCCTTCCCAGCCATCCACTAGATCTTCAAAATATAAACCACTCCACTAGAACATACTCCGTCGAACCTCGCCACTCAGTCCGTGGCATTCCCGACATAGCCAACATTGCCACCTTAGTGCAATAGTCTAGAATAATATAACACGGAGACAATCAGTCTATACCCAATGTCACATCCAAAATCTAACATACCAAGCAACAAAAGATCCACTCGGGTCTCCAAACCCCGATAGTCACTAAACAGTGCCGATACACGTGACCCACAACCACAACATAGCCTGAACACGAGAACTCCCAGTCTTCAACTCCATATAGCCCACGAATCACCATACCTGATCCCAATTCCACCATCCGAATACATACCACACCTCTTAATACCCAGTCATTCCATGAGAGATACTCTAAAATTCTTCTGTGTCGCCAAGCAAACTCGAATATTAGCAGCCGATGTAACAAGAAAGTGCCGTAATACTACCGAAGTACCATCAACTTATTCACATTGCCTTTTTCTGAAACATATACCCTCGTCAAATCACCCCAATTAGCATTGCCATTTCCTTAATCATCTGAAGATCATTTCCCAAATCATTTGAAGCTCATTTCTCTAATTATCTGAAACTGTCCGTGCTGCCTAAGAATTGTGACCTTCCTTTCAGAACTAATCCGTGACCTTACACATGCAAATCTAAGTCTTGAACATCATACCGCATATAACTTACCGTCCTAAGGTAAACATGAGAACTTCATATCCATTCTGAGCCACACGCAACTACGCACTCAACCCGCCAAGAACTTTTCTATTAGACCTTAGCTGGGAGAAAATCACTATACATCCCATGCTCTTCATGCCTGTGGAAAATACACACCTCTAACTGTGGTAGAAATCATCAAGAACTTTCTGAATTCCATTCGCACAAAACTAAACTGTCAGGACCGAATCCTTCTAACTCAACCAAGCTATGCAGGCCACAAAAAACCCCCCAAGAGAATTGCCGCGAAACACATGCAGAAACTCATTACTCCATTCACACCCAAAATGACTAATTATATCTTTACCATGCCAATCCGGCCTACTACCAAGCTATCATATTGATCCTAGTTCCTTCTAAATTACCTTCAAATTGATACTTCTCCTTGCCGTAACACCACAATTCCTTAACCCAGACTCACCACATGAGACCCAAGCATAAAACCACACTGTCTAAGGCTCACAAACCGCCGAACTCTCTCTTATATATTCCCAACAGCACCACATTGAAAGTGCTTACCCTGAAGAGACTTCCTACGAATCCAAAGCCATTACCTTCACCTTCCTGGTAATGATATATAGAATCCCATAATTAATATAGAAAATACCAGAAGTCCTGACATCTTCCAAAGAAAACTTAGTTTCTAGCCACATATACAACTTGAAAATACCCAACTGTTACATATAAAATCTTGAACGCGTTAGAACCATTCTCTAGAGCCATCCACCCTACTCAAACTACATTTAGCCTTATCAAATGAATCGAACAACCCGTGCCTCATTAGCACTCCGACACCGAAGAGTGTAACCTCATCCTAGAATAATCAAGCAACTTCCTGCTCTATGCACCGAGCATCCATTACCAACAACAACTCAAGACACTTTGTGATTCTCATACACCTATGAAGCATGACATAACCTTTGTCAAAATTTTCCTTTACTAGAGCCATCCTCGGTCTCAATCTCCATAAGCCATAACTGATTCACCCGCACGTCTCAAACTGGAACCAACATACCACATAACTGTGCAATCGACTAATTAATAGTGGACTCCCCCATTTGGCTCGAGGCCATAGACCTAATCATACACAATAACTCATAACGCCATATACTTTATTGTTGCCATAATACCATAGTGAGATTAAACTCAATCCTTCACAAGCTCATGGAACACAGACTATCTGTTACTTCATATCTTTTGTAGATCTCGCATTCACTCTCGTAGTAGACAAGCCTACTCTCTTGAGCAACCCAAATTCAAATTGTAAAACATATATTTCCCTGGCAACAGAGATCTTCCAATAAATGGCACAAGGGATCACACAAACTTCAGAACAATCCGCAGGAGATAACCCCACCTACTTTGCCTCAAACTAACATTTCTATATACCTTCCACCGTTATAAACATTACGCAGTCACTTAATCTTCCCGAGTCTAAACTCATACCGCAACATGAAATTCACTTCACTCCCAACTAGAACACATGAAAAGTTTCTTCACATAACCATAACTCGGGGCTATACCTCAAATCGAGATGAAAATCAAGTACCTAATAGTTCTTCTATCCTTCAGCAGACCCTTCTCCTCGTTTCCAAATCATATGAATATACCTCGCAGTCATAACATACTCATCACGTAGCTATCCAGTCATTACTCCCCTTAATAGGGACACAACAGAACATATAGATCCAGAAGCACGCGCTCACGAAATCAATAGCTCAAGGCTCGAGCTATAGGAAAAAATCCGGCTCAAGTCTTCCAGACTGGCCCAACATCAACACACAGAGATCGCATCTCGCCACTTGATCGAGGAATCATAAGCCATCGATGCACATCGAATACTGAGCGCTCATGCGCGCATACGAACATGTGGAAGGAATTCAAATAGTTACATTTCAAGCTGAATCAAGGACGCACCAGAAGAATTCAAAAATGTGAAGTTTTCCTAAAGGTTTTGCAGCCTCTCAAGGATAAATACAGATGTCTCAGTACCGATCCGCGAGACTCCACTAAACCTGCTCATGACTCGTGAGACCTATGTAACCTAGGCTCTGATACCAACTTGTCACGACCCCGAACCGGACCCGGTCATGATGGCGCCTCTCGTAAAGATAAGGCCAGCCGACACAATTCCCAAATTCAGTTTTAACATTTTAATAAGTCAATTTAAGTCATTTATAAGGATAAATCCCCAACAAGTACAGATTTAGTGAAACAAAACAAGTGCAGAATGAATACAGCCCGACATCGGGGTGTCACAAATCACGAGCATCTACTAAGGTCTAAAATACAACGAAAAATTAGGTAAATGTATTAATACAGTCTAATAACATCAAAGGGAGAAAGCAGTGCTGCGGACGTCGGGCAACGACCTTGCTAAACTCCAAAGACTTTGCCTCTGATCAACCAATACCTGATACCGGGTGCAGAAATACCTAAATCTGCACACAAGGTACATGGAGTAAAGTGAGTACTCCAACTTAGTGAGTAATAATCATAACTAAAGACTGAGTGATAGAAAATCACAAAAAATACATCAATCTGCTGCATAGAAGTAGTACAAAACCAGTAAGAAAGCAATGAAGCCGTGAAATCTCTTAAAACATCTTAGCACAGTTTAAACTTCTTTAAAAATGACTTTTTCAACAGTTAAACAATTCAATGCAAGTCAATTAGAGCAGATAAGCACAGAAAATCTGCCCCTCAGGCACAATACACAATTAACCAGGTAAATGACAGGCAATAAGAAAGATAACCATATAAAGGTTCGCCCCTCGGTCACAATGTTAACAAATCTGCCCCTCAGGCAATATCTCAGAACAATACCAGCCCCTCGGGCTATATCTCACATCACAATGGGTACCCGCACTCACAGGGGGTGTGCAGACTCCTGGAGGGGTCCCTTACGACCCAAACGCAATATCAAGCCATCTCGTGGAATCATCTCTAGGCTCTCGGCCTCATATCAACAAGCCACCTCGTGGCGTACATATCTCAGGCCCTCAGCCTCATAATCAAAATCAGTGTATCACCGCTGCAACATGCAGCCCGACCCAAAAGATATCCTCACAACACAGGCCCTCAGCCTTACTCAGTCAAAAATCACATAAGCCACTCGGGCAACAGTAAAACATGATGCTCAACCCAAAATATTATTTGAAATATCATTTCAAGGGTTAAAGCAGAGTAAACATGGTTGAGTTTTGAAAACAGTAGAATATAGCATGACTGAGTACAAGTTTGAAGTCAAAACAGTGAGGAAATATCAATAAAAATCCCAAAGGGTTCACATAGCTGGCACGAGTCCCAAATATGGCATTCAGCCCAAAACATGATGATAACAAATAGTTTTCAATCAAATACGCAGAAAACAATCATTTGGGATGGACTACGTCACAATCCCCAACAATGCACGACCCCACGCTTGCCATCTAGCATGTACGTCACCTCTATATAGCACAACGATGTGCAATCCGGAGTTTCATACCCTCAGAACATCATTAACAATCATTACTCACCTCGATCCGGTCCAAACTCTAACTCATGATGCCTTTGCTCACACGAATCGACCTCCGGATGCTCCAAATCTATCCACAATTAATACATAAACATTAAAATATGCTAAGGAAACAAAGCTCACTCAAAAATATCAAATTTACATAAAAAATCCCGATATTGCTCAAACCCGGCCCGGGCCCACGTCTCAGAATCTGATAATAGTTACATCAATAGAATCCTCGTCCTCACACGAGTCTATACATACCAAGAAAATCAAAATCGGGCCTCAATTGGCCCTTCAAATTCCCAATTTACACTCTTCAAAGTCAAGCCCTAATTTCCCAATTTTAGGCTTTAATTTCCACATTTTTCATGATTAAACAAGTAAGAATAAACATAGTTACGAGTATTGAGTTCACAAATCTTACCTCCAGGTGTTATATCTTGAATCCCTCTTCAAATTCTCTCAAAAAGCTTCAAAATAGCCCAAAAATGGTGAAAGATAACCCAAAATCGCGGACAATGGCTATTTAAACATTATGCCAAGGCATCAAAAACCTTCTTCGCGAATGCGACCGGCCTCTCATGTTCGGGTAGGCCAAATTCACTGCCTCACCACTTTTCCCTTCGCGAACGCGGACAATTTCCACGCGAACGCGATGCTTTGCCTTACCAGGATTTCACGAACGCGGTCCAACTCTCGCGAATGCATTGCACATGGGCCTGGGGTGCCCAACGACCTTACTCCTCTTCGCGAACATGACCCCAGTCTCGCGTCCGCGATGCACATGAAGCCTCCGCCTTCGTATTCGCGTCCCCTTTCTCGTGAATGCGTAGAACAAATATGTGATCATACAAAAACACCCTTCGTGAACGCGAGTCCCTGACCGTTAACGCGAAGAACAATTTGTCTGTAACACAAAACCAACAAAAACTGCCAAGTCCAAAGTCCAAAATTGATCCGTTTAACCATCCAAAACTCACCCGAGGTCCTCGGGACCTCAACCAAACATACCAACATATCCCATAATCTAATTCAAACTTGTTCCAACCTTCGAAACGCTCAAAGCAACATCAAAACACCAAAATCACATCGGATTCAAGCCTAAGAGCTTCAAGAACTTCCAAATTCTGCTTTTGATAAAAAAACCCAACCAAACCACGTCCGAATGACCTGAAATTTTTCACAAACGTCACAAATGACACAAAGGAGCTACTGCAACTTTCAAAATTCTATTCCAACCCCTATATCAAAATCTCACTTATCAACCAGAAAACACGAAAATCTCAATTTCGCCAATTCAAGCCTAAACCTACCACGGACTTCCAAAATGCATTCCGATCACACTCCTAAGTTCCAAATCATCTAACGGAGATAACCAAATCATAAAAATTCTGATCCGAGATCAAATACGCACAAGTGAAATCTCGATCAAACTTTTCAAATTTCAAGCTTCAAACTGAAAACTGTTCTTCCAAATTCATTCCGATTACCCTGAAAACCAAAACCAACAATTTACATAAGTCATAATCCATCACTCGGGGCAAGTCATGCCCGAGAACTGACGAGAAAAATGCAAAAACTCAAAATGAGCGGTCGGATCATTACAACTACTAAACCAATTCACCCATTCAAATAAGTTGTACTCCATTAGAAAGAAATGAGAGAACTACTTGAAAAGAACATAACCAGCCTTTATCTACAATTCTTTATGATACATCAAACTTCTAATTTCTAAAGTAGAGTCAAAAAAACTATCAGCAAAATAAAATCATAAAGCCTAACATTAACATAGTAATTGCAATTAAAACAATGAAAAAAAGCCTAAAGATGATATTCAGCTGCTCCTAAGGCTAAATTTTTATGTGACGTTCACTTCCAAGTTCAAAGACACAATCACTTGGAAATTTGATAAGAACTGCTAAAACAATCAGTTGATGGCATAATACCAAATAGTGATAAGACTGCTAACTCCCACAAACAAACACATAATTATCATTGCCATATCATTATAAGCATGTTCTCATTGAATCAAAAGAAGAATTACATGACCGAGGAAGGGAAATAGTACCTTAACGGAAGTAATAGGTCCTTAAAATTGCCAAATAAAGGCTGATAAATTGCTACAAACTGGAGCTCAGCGGAACAAAATTTGAACAACAACTCAACTCAATCAACCTCCACATTTGAAACCCAAATCAACTAAGAAGTAGAAACTTAAAATATTTTAGCATTTTTTGTAAAATTTCGGACATCAACCATCTTAAAGAAAGAATTAATATTTTATATATTCCTGTTTTTTTCTGAAATCTCCGAAGAAACGAAAGAATCGAAAGAAAATTCCAAAAATCCTCAAAGTTTTCCTGTTGTCCTCTCGTTCTCTGTCCGTGGGTAAGGGTTGAAGAAGAAGAAGAAACAACTGGTTTGGTGGTGTGCTGAAGAAGAAGGGCTATTAGGGTTTTTCTATTGAAGTTCGATTCTTCGGTTTTTAGAGGTGAAGATGAGAGTCCAGAAGAAAAAGGGAGGGGGTGCGCTGTTGCCCTCTATGAAAAAGATCTTATTTTTCTTAATCTTCTGATGTTAGGTCTAAGTTTTGTTTTAGGTTTGGAAGGTGAGAGTCTTTTAATGAGAGAGATTCCAATTGGGTTATGGGCTAGGGGATTCTAGGCTACTTTGGGCCTAAAAAAGAAACGGCCCAAAAGAAAATTAATGACCCAAATATTCCATCTTCTTTTCTTAGTTTACTTTTCTTTGATTTAAACTCTAGCCAAAATAATTGAAACATCAATTTCAAATTGATTTTTGCAGAAATGACCTATTAAACTAATTGATTAAAGCTAATGTACATTTTTTGTAATTTTCATGTATTAATCTAACAATTGAAGAGTAATTAATTTCTAAAAATGCAAATTAGACCTAAGATGGCATGAAATAAAAAATGTGAAAATTGTTATGATATTTTCTATGATTTTAAAATATTAAAAATGCATGAGATGCAACTAAATAAAGAAAAACTCCTAAAATTCATTAAAATTATTTTTGGTCTATTTTTAGGTGTTATTTCCATGCGGGGAAAATATTAGGTGCTCATCGAAACCGATTATTTATTTCATGCCAATTCGTTCGTGCTTTTCTCGTTATTTTCGTAGAAATTTCTTGGCTGTCGTTCTTAGTTTTTCAAAGTCCGTTCTTGATTACATAAACTCCACTCTTAAATTACTTTCCAGAAAACTCATTCATAGATAGGTGATTTGTGAGTTGAGCTCAAACTTTGAGAATTTTCAAGGAGTGAAAAGTGAAAACTCATAAATGTGAGATAAAACACAAGAGGTTGAGTGGCGTGTTTGAATCAAACTACAAGAGGTGTGCTATTATGGGATCCTCTTATTATTAGTCAATTATTTTTCCTATAAGCATGTCTTCTGCATATACAAGCGATTGGGGTGAAAAAATGATTGAATATAGTGATGACGAATGTTGGGATTCCTATGATGAAGATGATGAAGGAAGCAATTTATGTAATTTTTCTGGGTACTACGGTGGGCATATTCCTTGTCATGATTCAGGTGAAGACTCAAGTGATGAACAAACATGGTATATTCCTTATCATGATTCATATGGTTATGATTCTTATGAGTATTTTACTAACAAGTATGATAACTATCATGCTAATCATAAAAGATATGGAGTTGAATCAAGGAACATGAAAGCAAAACATGAAAAATTAATTTACAAGGGTAGTGAGGTAAGTTTGATCCTTGAAAACTATAATATATCGATACCATTCTTTGAAGGAGTTCATGGTCCGAATACCTACCTTAATTGGGAAAGCAAGGTAGACGATGTCTTTGCATCTTATCCATGTTCGGAATGTAAAATATTGGAGCTGATTAGTAAAGACCTTTATAGGAATGCTTCTTTGTGGTGGTACAACCGTGAAACTACCTTTAAAAGCACTTCCTGTCCATCCATTATGTCACGACCCTAAAATCGACCCGGTCGTGTTGACGCCTATCGTGAAACTAGGCCACAGATACAACTCCTGAATTAACCATTTAATTAATAACAATTATTTTTTAAGCCTTTAATTAATCAGATATCTCATAATGTAAGTCTAAATAAACAATGCAGAATAAATACACAAGTCCGACATTGGGGTGTCACAAGTCACGAGCATCTACTAAGGTCTGAATACAACGAAGAGTCTAAAATGTACTAAATACAGTATAAGGAAGACAAGATGGAGAAAAGCAGTGCTCCGAACGTCATGCAGCTACCTTGCTAACTCCGATGACTCTGTCATTGAGTAATCAACATACGGTACCGGGTTCAGAAACACCTAAATCTGCACACAAGATGCAGGGAGAAATGTGAGTACGCCAACTCAGTAAGTAATAAAAGTAAATGAAAGCTGAGCAGTAAGAAAACACATAAGCTATGTCATAACGCTACAACAAATGCAGTACATTTCCAAAACAGTACGAAAATTATTTACTTCGCAAATCAAGCTCAGTTTCAGTAAAACCTTTTCAAAACAACTTTCAATAGTTTTAAACGAGTGATAAAACAGTGAGTAAAAATGATAGCAAACGTAAACAGCCCCTCGAGCAAAACATATATCATTAATCGCCCCTCGGGCATAATATCAACAGAATAAGCCCCTCGTGATACCTCACAATCACTCGTAATCAGCCCCTCGGGCATAACATGAATCAAGAACTACCCCTTTGGCAACAATATGAATCAACAACAGCCCCTCGAGCTATATCACATCACTCACACTGGGTTCCTGCTCTCACTAGGGGTGTACAGACTCCAGGAGGGCCCCCTTACAGCCCAAGCGCAATAACAAGCCATCTCGTGGCATAATCAAACAGGCTATCAGCCTCATATCAAGCCACATAGTGGCATAACAAATTAGGCCCTCGGCATCATAATCATGAATCAGTACCACACTGCTGCAACGCGTAGCCCGATCCCATAGTATCCTCACAACACAGGTCCTCGGCCTCACTCATTCAGAAATCTCTTAAGCCACTCGGGCAACAATAAAACATGATTCTCAACTCAAAATATCATTTAAAATATCAAAACAGAGTAAATATGACTGAGTTATGAAAATAGTAGAATACAACATGATTGAGTACAAGTATAAAGTCAAAACAGTGAGAAATAGAAGTAAAAATCCCCTAAGGGTCCAAAATAGTTGGCACAAAGCCCAAATATGGCATTCAGCCCAAAACATGGTAATAATTCCCTAAACACAATGATAGCAAATAGTTTCAATCAAATACACGACTTAATAGTCGTACAGGACGGACTAAGTCACAATCCCCAATGGCTCATGACCCCATGCTCGTCATCTAGCGTGCGTGTCACCTCAAAATAGCACAACGATGTAAAATACGGGGTTTCATACCCTCAGGACAAACATTTACAATCATTACTTACCTCAATCCAGTCCAATTT